AGAGATGACCACTTTTACAGCGACTCACACACCCCTCTGTTGAAATGTAGTAGGAGAACATGACAAACACATCTTAACTTGTCTGACTAAGTGGAAAGTCAGACGTAATGGTGAATGGTAATGGTTTATTTTGTGGTTTCGGACAGAATCGGTCGAAACGAAACACTTCGAATTTAAACACACACACTTTAAAGTAGGAGGTCACCCCAAAAAATTAACACTCATCCTCAAGTCATTCCAAACCTGGATGACTTTCTTTCTTCTGTGGAACATTAGAAAAAAAAGAAGATATTTTAAAAAATGTCACAAAAAACACAACAACACTATACAATGCAAGTCAATGGCGAAAAAGTCACCCTCATGTTGTATTACTTTATTTCTTCTGTGGAACATAAAAGAAGTTATTTTGAATGGTGTCTCAATGTTTTTTTTGTCCATACAATGAAAGTCAATAGGGAGTTCTTTTGGACCCAACTGACTTTCATTCTGCTGTCAAAAACAGATGAAACATTCTTCAAAAATGTTCTTTTGTGTTTTGCAGAATGAGTTTATACAGGTTTGGAATGACATAAGTGTGAGTAAATGAGCCAGAATTTAAATTTTTGGGTGGGCTATCCCTTTAAGAACAACTTTTACACCAAACCTGTTCCTGAAGGGCCACTGTCTTGCAGAGTTTAGCTCCAACCCTAATTAAAAACACCTGAACCAAAGTTATCAAGATCTTCAGACCTGTTTTACGCAATACACACACAACCTTTGTCCAGTAATTGTTATCACTCTCTTTTATATCTATAAAAGAAGATTAGGCGGCTACAATAGTGTTAAACCTATCTGACAAAAGAGCTTAACACAGTGCACACACATGAGCTCAATCATTAGGCCATAGGTGAATGGGAAAGATCATCCTGTGGTTGTTTGGGTGCAGTGAGTCAGAATATCTCATTTTAAGTTCCCACACACACTTCTGCCTACTTGAGTAATGCGTTTTAAGCTGTTCAGTCAGATTAAGAAAATATAAAACAGAAAATTTCATTGCTGAACTTCCTACTATGCAAAGATATTCTTCATTTCCTGCTGTCTTTTAAAGAGTCTTTTTGCCATTATAGTAATTGTTATTCGATAAATGAAAAAATAATAATAATTAGAAGATTAAATGCTTAAGCAAAAGAGTAATGAGAAAATGCCAGCAAAGTTAATCAGAGAAAGTGGACAATCTGTACAAACACACACTTCCTCTCAGTCCACATAAACACACACACACACACACACACACACACACACACACACACACACTAACAAAATCCTACTTGTTCCAGGACACCAGCATTTGAATGTCACGTGAAACGCAGATACATAATGCATTCACAAAGCGA